AAGTTTATATACAATTTTTCAATTAATTTCACTGCATCCTCTCAGTTACCATGTGGCATCAGGATTATTATTGATAGGGAAACTGAAGCCCTAAGCTCAGGTCACAAAGCTGGTAACTGGGTATGCTGGAATTTCAGACAAAGTCTGACTCCAGTGCCTTGTTCTTAACCACCCTGCATCTCTTCATGGCTCAGAAGTATATCCCCAAGTTTTGAGAGTATTCATAAAAAATAGTTATATATTCCACAGACACCCTTAACCACAGTAGATGACATTCAGTTTGAGTCCTTTTCAGGGCCAGTACTAATCATCCGTATGAACACGAAGTTGTTATGGACTGAACTGTGTCCCCTCAAAAGTCATATGTTGAAGCCATGATCCCCAGGGTGACTGTTTGGAGATAGGGTCTTTAAGAGGTCAGTAAGGTTAAATGAGGCCATAAAGGTGGAGCCTTAGTCCAATAGGGTTGGTGTCCTGGTAAGAAGAGGAAGGGAGACCACGCCCTCTCCTGCTATGAGGACCCACAAGAAGCTGGCCATCTGCAAAGCCAGCAAGAGAGCCTCCAACCGACACCGAACCCTGCAGGACCCCGATCCTGGCCTTCCCAGCCTCTGTAAAGTGTGAGGAAATAAATTTCTGTGGTATTATCACAGCCAGAGCTGACTAAGACCCAAGTCAAGAGAACAGCTTTGACCGAGTGCTCTGACCTTCCGGTGTTCGGACAGGTCAAAGGACAGCTTGAATTCTGGGGATGGAATCTGGCTTCACATAAACAAATGGGCCGCATCACGCCTATACAATTGTAGTTAATAGATTATACAATAAAATGACACAGAAGTTGTGACTAAAATGCCACAATTGCGCGGCATCCCCTTCCAAGTATGTAAGGAAGTGTAACGCTTTTGTGCCTTTGGGAAAGTGAAGGCATAGCTGGGGTATCTGGGATTTCCACTGACTTAAAAGCCACGGTGCTACAGGAGCCTGGGCCAAGAGGAGGGCAGCGACTCGCTGGGGATGTGCCCCGGGTGTCCTCTCAGCTTGCGTGTACCGGACAACTCACAAACTGTCCTCTTGGCCACTGTATGCTTTACCACGGATTAAGAAAAAACAATGGCATTTATTTGAAAAAACAAGTGATCAAAACCCCACAGCAAAGAATATTCCATGCGTTTGTCACTGCACTAAGCACTTCCTCTTGTAGCAACTGTGGACACAGACTGAGGTCATTCTGGTTTCTACTAATGGCCAAATGCAGAGGAAAAGCAGTGCATGTCCCAAAGAGATTGCTTCCCTCTAGAGAGACGTTTTCCTGGCAGGGAAACAGCAATCACACACACAAAAATAACAGGAAATAGTTGAATAAAGTAAAAAACATAAATCCTACCCACAATGGAGAATTTTAAAATTGAATAATAATCTGGAAAAAGAATAGTAGCAAATGAACAGTTGGGTGGTACCTGACGGCTCTTCCCCAATAGGAACGTGGTGAACAGGGAATTCACATCATAGTCAACAAAAGAGGTGGAAGGAAAAAATCAAGGACATCCGCTATATTACAAGTCCGGGAGCTCAGTGGTAGACAGATTCACTCAAAGAATGGTGAATGCAGCTTTGCTTGCTATAGGTGTTTGGATGGATGAAATATTTTGATCCTACACCCAGTTTTGTCGACTGTACTTTTACTCGGTGTAAACCCCAGGCTGCTGCACCTGACGCCCAGAGGTCTGTGTTGCTTGGGATAGAGATCAGAGGTAAGACCTGGTGGCCTGTGGACTGCATCAGGCACATAGAGTGTGTTTTATTAATTTGAGCCAACGCTTAAAAATAAGTAGATGTCAGATGAAAATGGGCATTTCCATCCTGTTATGGAAATTCAGAAGACCTGGCGACACTGGGCTTGCATTCTCACAGGGCAACAATGCGTTGAAGCTAGGACACATTTAGACAGGGCATGTGCTCTCCCTCTGAAACCTCCTTCTGAATTGTGCCCCGCTGCCCCCCATTCGTAAGTTGAAACCCTAACCCCCAAAGTGACTGTATTTGGAGACAGGGCCTTTAAGGGGGCTGTTAAGGTTAAATGAGGTCATAAGGCTGGGTTCCTACTCTGATTTTCCCCTCCTCGCTTGTGCACAGGCGTACAGAGGAAAGGCCGTGTGAGGACACGGCAAGAAGGCTGTCATCTGCGGGCCAGGAAAGGAGGTCTAAGGGAAACCAATTCTGCTGGACCTCGAACTTGAACTGCCAGCCTCCAGAACCATGAGAAAAAAATGGCTGTTCTTCCCCCTGCTCGGTCTGTGGCACCTTGTGATGGCAGTTCAAGCCCACTAATATACAGCTCAGGCTCTGGAGAAGAGAGTTCTCTGAGAATTCTTCCCTGTGGCCTACCCTACACACTTGTCATCTGACCACTTCTCTGAGACCATTCCCTCCCCATTCCTACTACACAGTTCTAGTTCTGACTCCAGATTCTAGTTCTGAATCTGCGGCCTTTTAACTGGAACTTCCATCTTATCTGCACCCCACCTCTGTTCCCCCTTAAAACCCAGCCACCCCATGACTGAAAGAATGCTCCATCTAAGAGTTAAAACAGAACCACATCAGTCTTGCTGTCAGGCCCTCATGGCCACAGTGGCTCCCAGACTCTTGTGTTCCTAGCACCATGTGGGGTACTAAGTCCTGTGCAGGAAACAAAGCTCAGGTCATCGGGATGGACCCATGGGGGTGTTGGCATGCATCAAAGCACCCATGAAGCGTGTGGGCTGTAACAAAGTGCCAAACAAGAGGTGCAAATAGGATTCAATATGGACACGAGGGAGTTACACATTTATTCCCATGGGAGGCCTGGGCATGTCTCCTGGAGGAGATATCATCATGGAAGATGGGACAACCTTGGACTAGTGGGCATGGAGTATGGAAGGGCCCTAAAGTGCATGCGTCCTTCCTGAGCCTATGAGTTCTCCAATGCACATTCTAGAATAAGTAAGTGAATGGGGTCAGTGAGCAAGATAAATGCCTACTCAATATAATGGCAGCAGAAGCAAACATTTGAGGACATGAATGGTCAGTAAATCGTGGTTTTGATTCAAAGATTTCCAGCTAAATCCACTTTCAATCCTAACAAAACCAAGAACCGTTCTCAGTTTAATTCAAATCTATACAAAATCCGATAAACAATGTTACCCTGACACAACAGCATGTACTTTCATGTTGACATCATCAGGTGAAAGATACAATATACTTTACTCCCAAAGATCTGAGTCAATGTCATGTCCAATATGATGTTAATATACAAGCTATATTAGGCTATAAGATAATGTCTTTAAAAAGGGTAGTCGTTCAACATATGTACCAGAAGTTGGCTCTTGGAGGGCACCATTCCCTTCTTTAGATATTATCTCTCAGTTCCTTTTCAAAGAATCATAAGCTTATTAATTTTTACATATATCAAGCAGGTTCTGCTTCAGGCATCCTTTGATTTTAAAAAAATTCTGTTCAACTGCACAATCACATTAAAACGTTACATCACTACAACTCTAGACCTTATTTATTTTATTCTTCTTTTATTTCTTGAGACCACAATCCTCTCCTTTTTGAGTTATTTTAATCTGAGGCACTTAAAATTTTTGGCTTGAGTAATTTCAAATTAGTTTCTTTCCAGAAAAATAAGTGGGTAGGAGCATACTTTGAGCACTTGCATTTCTGAAGATCTTAGACACAAGTAATAGTTTAATGAGGTATGAAATTCTAAGATTACAATTCTGTACTTTCAGACCTCTAGAAACCTTGCTCTGTCATGGTGTAGAAATTAGTACTGTAGCCGAAAACTGTTTCTGATCTCGTCCTCTTTCCTTTTCAGGTAAACTGCTTGCTTATTTTTTTTTCTTCTTTGTTTCTCCCCCCCAAATTTCCCTTTATCTTAGAATTCAGCAGCTAGTTGTGTTGTTTTAATTATTCATTCTTGCAGTAAGTGAGCTCTTTCAAACTGAAGACTTATTTGGTTATCTAAATGTTAAATAAAAGCCACCTTCATTTATAACCAGGTATCTTACTCAAGTCATGGAATGGGTTCCTTTCCTATGCATAGCAGAGCACAGAGGTAAACAGTTATTTTTCTTAATATCTCACAAAATTTGGGTCAAAGCCCACATATTAAATGTTTGTTGTTTTTGTTGTTTGCCTTAAAATTTAAAAGGCAACAAGCAGCATCAGGAATTCATGATTTTTTAGAATTCTACAGTAGAGTGCACAGAAAATGCTTTCTGAGTGCTAACTTGGAGAAGCGCTGCTAATGCTTGCTACAGCTAAAGCTCTGAGAAAAATCCTAGCAAACCATGTAGTAGTTTGTTCCCTTTGAAACGCTGGTGACTTGGTGCCCACTTTCTTGCAGGCCGTTAGCACCATGCGCAGCTCCTGGGGAGCCTGCCACGCTATTCTGCTTCTGGTTCTGAAAGAGAAGCAAACGTTCTGGGAGCACTGGGGTTGAAATTACTCAATGAAATAGAAGTGCTATATCCTCAGCTGTTGAAGTCACTTCTCCAAAGGGAACAAGCCACACCTACCGACAACTCTGCCCTAATTCTGTGATTGGAAGGAAAGCTTTGCGGTCACGCTAAAAGATTTTACAGTCTCCTGCCATTTGTGTTCCTAAAACAAAGTGCAGAATGACTACACCGTTGCAGGAAATGAGATGCTCGCGTTAGCCATCCCTGTGGATTGCAGACTGGGGAAGTAATCGAGGGGGGGGGGAAATTACCAGAGAAGCTCATTAATTAGTAATAAATGGGCAATTGGCCAAAATCACAAGGTGTGGAAAGTAGCAAAATCACCCGGTAATGTGTTCTCGGCCAAATCACGAAAGTAAATATTGTCCGTGTACAAATCAACGTAGCGACGATTTTAGCCTGCCCCACCTCCCCGCACACTTCTGCGACCGTAGCCCACCCGGTGTGGAACCAGAGGGGCCCTGCGCCCGGGGCGGGGCGCGCGCCGACGGCACCTACCGAGCAGCAAGAGCCGGTGCGTCTGCTGCAGGTCGCGCTTCTGCTCGCGGAGCATGCGGTCGATGCTCCTGCTGACCTTCCTTGCCTCGCGCTCGGCCTCGCGCTCCGCCTCGCGCTCCTCCGCTCGCAGCTGCTCCGGACCCCGCCGCCGCTCCTTCTTCGGGGCGGCTTTGGGCCGCGCGCACGCCGGGCTCCCTCCGGCGCCCCGAGGGAGAGGGGTCGGGGCCGCGTCTCCCCCCACCGCCGCCGGGGCTCGGGCGGGGGTCGGGCCCGGGGCCGGGCCGGGCCACGCGTCCTCCGCAGGGTCTTCCGAGGCGGCGCGGGAGACGTCCTCCGGATCCCCGAAGAGCAGCGGCCGCAGACTGTAGCACAGACCCATGTGGACGCGGGGATGAGGGGGGGGCGCGGAGCTCAGGCCGGGGCCCCGGCGGAGGGGCGGGAGGGGACTGCACCCGGACCCGGCGCGGCGCTACTGCCCACAGGCTGCGGGCTGGGGGTGCGGCGGGCCCGGGCCGGGGGCCACGGCCCCTCACTGTCCCGGAGGGCCATTTTGCATTTTCCGCTGGGTGCAGGGGGTGGCGGCCGCCTGGGCTGGAGATCACCTGATAACGCGGCGAGCGGGCCGCACCGACGGGCCTCCGCGAGCCCAGCCCCCGTTACCGTAAAAACCGCCGCCGGGACCGGCCCCCCGTTACCGTAAATACCGCCGCCAGGGCCGGCACTCGTTACCGTAAATACTGAAGCCGTGGTGATTCCATCGTAAATACCACCGCCGTCTCCACTCTGGTTACGGTAAATATAGCCGCCTGGCCCGGCCCCCAAGACGTAGGCACCGCCTCGCGTTCGAGTCTTCCATACAGTAAATACGGTCGCCCAAGCCCGGCGTGCAGCTGGGGACAGTGCCGCAGTGGCGGTGGTGGTGCCGTCACCACCCAGAGCTGCCATTGCAGCACTTAAAAAACCACCGTGGCTTCGATCTGGGACAGTGGTAAATAAGAGCGGGAAGCCTGACAAAGGGATAGAGACACCAGCTTTCAGATCTTGAATTGCCGGATGTATTACCTGCAGAGATCACCGCACCTTGCCTCTCCTTTTTCACTTACATCTTACGCACAACCAGACACATCTGCACGCTTTTGATCCTTACCTTATTTCTATTATGCCTTTGATCTTGACAAAAATCTCCAAATCAGGAGGTCCATGACATCATTTTTAACAACCACACTATTTAAAACATTGAAAAGGAGAACATGTAATTGTCATATACTATTTTTATTTGTTAAAACGAATATATGAAATTGCACTCTGTATCCTATTTTTTATTTTTTTAAAGATTTTATTTATTTATTAGAGAGAGAGAATGAGAGATAGAAAGCACGAGAGGGAGGAGGGTCAGAGGGAGAGGCTGACTCCCCGCCGAGCAGGAAGCCCGATGTGGGACTCGATTCCGGGACTCCAGGATCATGACCCAAGCCGAAGGCAGTCGCTTAACCAACTGAGCCACCCAGGCACCCTGTATCCTATTTTTTAATCCACAGTATAAGGTCAGAGAGGAGCAGAGGCGTATTCAGACCGGGTGCCCTTTCTCCACACCTCCTAGGGATACAACCCCACCGGAGTTGTATCCACTGTCTCTATTATTTCCCACTTAATATCCATCATCTTATAGAACAACTGTTGAAAATTTCGATAGTTTTTAAGAACTCTGCTGTAACACGTGTTCCTTAATTTCTACTAAATGACATGAAATATTATAACTGATATCTAATGTAAATCCCATTAATAGTGGCAGATTGGTCTGTTTAATGCAACGCCCTGCTAACAAGGGTACACTGTACCAATTGGCACTTGGTGTAAATATTACATTTGATTAAATATATTATTTAATTTGTTTTGAAAAAGAACTTTTTATTACTTTTATGTACAAAAAATTCAACAACGTCCGCTCATTTCAGTTTTATGGCCAGTTCTTTAGCCTTTGCCTTTTCCAGCTTGGCAGTGCTAGCTGCTGGCTTTGGACCCAGGACGTTGCCTCCCCAGTGATGGTGGATCTCATCGTATCTGTCATTGTAATTGGTTCTGATGGCTTCCACCAGCTTAGCCAGAGCTCCTTTGTCTTCCTGTGCGAAGGCCACAGTGGTGCAGGTCTTCCTGTGGACCAGACACCCCAGCCTGGCCTTCCCCTTGACAATGAGTAGGGAACCCCCATCATAGGACACAGGGCAGGCAGGAAGACAACCAGCTCAATGGGATCCACATCATGTGCCATCACTATGAGCTGAGCCTTCCTGTTTTCTGCCCAGGTGGTGACATATTAACCCCTGCTTGAGGGACAGGCAGCCTCTTAGTGGGGACATCCCCTTTGCCAGCAGCTTTCTTCTCAGCCCAGGCCAACAGTCTCTGCTTCGTCTCTGGTCTGTATCTGTGGGTGAGCATTAGCAGTTGCCGTTTGGTGGTCTAAGGCCTGGGTGAGCTGGCTAATCCAAGAGGCACTTTGAGACGTTCATAGAGAGTAGCCCTTTGCCGCTGCGGCAGATGTAGCGGGGCGATTTGACAAAGCAGGGGAGGTCCCTTTTGGACTGGGTCTCCTGTCCAATGCCAAAATTCTTGGGTCTTTTCTCAAATAGTGGATTGACCAGCTTCTTGGTCCCCTGTTTCTTCACAACAGCAGGAGCCGGGGCCCCCTTCTGCCCCTTCACCTTCTTTCCTTTTGGCATCTTGGATGGCTGGAGGGGAGGCTGCATTTTGATTACATTTTTAAAGAAGGAAATTGGAGAGCTAGATTCACATTTATTTTAGGGCCCTGTTAATAACAAAAGTATACACTATGTAATGTTCGGATTATCCCCCAAATTTGCCCAAATTAGCTACCCTTTTAGGTTTTTGAAGAGTAGAAGAAAGGAGGACTATAGAAAATCTAACTTGAGAAAACAGAAAAAACTATGAAGTATCAGTGTGATTTTCACTGTTCATTCACCCGCCCATCTTCCATGTATCCATTCACTTATTTAGTATTTATCAAGCACCAACAATATGCTAGGCATTCTGGTTGGTATCAGGTGAAGCAAAATACATGGGTCCTTGTGGTGTTTAAACACTAATGAGGTAGAAATATGTTCAATCATATACATACAAGTTAATAAATTTATGATATATTTCAAATTATGCAAATGTTGTGAAGGGAAGGAAGAGGGTTCTCCAAGAAGTAATACGGGAAGGCCCAATTTAAATTGGGAAGGGAGGCAAAGAAACAGAAAACACCGATTCAAAGGGATACATGCACCCCTATGTTTATAGCAGTATTTTTTACAATAGCCAAGACATGGAAGCAACCCAAGTGTCCATCCATAGAAGAATGGATAAAGAAGCTGTAATATATATTATATATATATAATATATATAATACAGTTATAAAATTATATTACTAATATATATTACATATATATTATATATAGTATTATATATACACATATACACACACTGAAATATTAGCCATATAAAAGAATGAGATCTTGCCATGTGCAACAAGGATGGACCTAGAGGGTATTATGCCAAGTGAAATAAATCAGAGGAAGACAAATACCATACGATTTCACTCAAATGTGGAGTTTAAGAAACAGAACAAATGAACAAAGAAGAGAGACAAGCAAAACCCAGACTCTTAAATACGGAGAACAAACTGGTGGTTGCCAGAGGAGAGGTGGCTAGGGGGAAATGGGTGAAATAGGTGATGGAAATTAAAGAGTACACTTATCATGATGAGCAATGAGTACTGAATAGAATTGTTAGACCATTATATTGTATATCTGAAACTAATATGACACTGTATGTTAATTATACTTCAGTAAAAACAATGGTAGGGGAAGAAGTTTGTATGTGATACAGGGAAGGCCTTTCAGAGGAAGGGATATTTGAACTGAGAAGAATATATACCAATTCCTTTCCTGTTATAACTTATTAAACTTTATCAACTAGTATCACGAGATGGATAACATTTTATATATATATATATATTTAATAATTTTTTATTGTTATGTTAATCACCACACATTACATCATTAGTTTTGGATGTAGTGTTCCATGATTCATTGTTTGTGCATAACACCCGGTGCTCCACGCAGAATGTGCCCTCTTTAATACCCATCACCAGGCTAACCCATCCCTCCACCCCCCTCCCCTCTAGAATCCTCAGTTTGTTTTTCAGACTGATAACATTTTATATATTAAAACCAGGTGAAAACAGAAGCAAATATAGTATAGATTTTATTTTTATTTATTTTAGAGAGAGAGAGCACAAGTGAGCACCAGTGGAGGGAGTGGCAGAGGGGGAGGGAGAGAGGAGGAGAATCTCTCAAGCTGACTCCATGTTGAGCGCGGAGCCTGACGCTGGGCTTGATCTTACAACCCTGAGACCATGACTTTTTTTTTTTAAGATTTTATTTATTTATTCATGAGAGACAGATAGAGAGAGAGGCAGACTCCCAAGGAGCAGAGCCCGATGTGGGACTCGATCCCGGGACCCTGGGATCATGACCCAAGCGGAAGGCAGACTCTCAACCATCTGAGCCACCCAGGCGCCCTGAGATCATGACTTGAGCCTAAACCAAGAGTTGGACACTTAACTGACTGAGCCACCCAGGTGCCCCTGGTATAGATTTTTAAAGTACATAATTTGCATCTGGATGGGAATTCACTCACCTTTAAGGATTTACTTAAGAGATAGAAAACAATATTTTCTATTGGTACCCAATATCATAAACTGAAAATAATTTCTGAAAATCCTGTTAAAAGAATCCTAGGAAGGGGCACCTGGGTGGCTCAGTCGTTAAGCGTCTGCCTTTGGCTCAGGTCATGATCCCAGGGTCCTGGCATTGAGCCCCACACCTAGCTCCTTGCTCAGCGGGAAGCCTGCTTCTCCCTCTCCCACTCCCCCAGCTTGTGTTCCTGCTCTCACTTGTCTCTCTGTCAAATAAAATCTTAAAAAAAAAAAGAATCCTAGGAAAGAACTGCTGGGGGCTCATCTTGGCCACATTTCAATTTCTTTCAACACTTTTTATTACATACCAATTACACAAAATTGGATTATATGTTCTCTGCATAGGATAAATTAGAATAAAATATTTAATATTTATATATCACTTTAGTTAAATTTAATGTTTTCTCTTTAATTCAAGGTTGATTTTTAATTCATGAATAATTAGGTCATACAAGTAAGCAATTTCTAATGCCAAAGAATGATTATGAATCTGAAAATAGAAATCATGAGGTGACTCTAAAATAAATGTAAAATTATGGGTGCCTGGGTGGCTCAGTTGGTTAAGCGACTGCCTTCGGCTCAGGTCATGACCCTGGAGTCCCGGGATCGAGTCCCACATCGGG